AGGACGAGATGGAGCTGGGAATAGTGACCCAGATGAAAGGTAACAAGAAGTCCTTTTTTAAATACATAGCGGGTAAAAAGAAGGTACCATGTAACATGGGGCCTCTGCAGGACATGCTTGGTAATCTGGTGGTAGCACCAGATGACAAAGCTAACTTCTTTAACAGATTCTTTGCTTCCATTTTTCTGAGCAGGGACAGGGACATCCCCCCCCCTCGGATCCCCTACGGACACAGGGGAGGTGCAGCCAGGCCCAGGGTCACTGAGGACCTAGTCAGGCAACTTCTGGAGGGACTAGATGTGTTCAAATCAGCAGGTCCTGACAATCTCCACCCCAGAGTGTTTAGGGAATTGGCAGAGGTCATTGCAGGACGCCTGGCACAGCTTTACGAGCACTCATGGTGCTCTGGCAAGGTGCCTGATGACTGGAAAAGGGCCAATGTGATCCCCATTTTCAAAAAAGGGAGGAAAGAGGACCCAGGAAACTATAGGCCTGCTAGTTTTAACTTGGTCCTGGGGAAGCTCTTTGAGAAAATTATCCAGGAGCACATCTGCGAGGGGCCAGCAGGGGAGTTTATGCTTAGGGGCAATCAACATGGGTTCATTAGAGGCAGGTCCTGTCAGACCAACCTGGTGGCCTTCTATGACCAGGTCACAAAAGCCTTGGACGCAGATGTCGTGGTGGATGTAGTCTTCCTGGACTTTAGGAAGGCCTTCAACACTGTCTCTCACCCCATTCTCATTAAAAAATTAGGTGTCTATGGTGTCAACGCCTACACAGGCAGATGGGTCGCAAATTGGCTGGAGGGCCACACCCAGAGAGTGGTGGTGGACAGGTCATTTTTGACCTGGAGAGATGTGAGCAGTGGGGTCCCCCAGGGCTCGGTCCTCAGGCCTGCACTGTTCAATATCTTCATCAGCGAATTGGACGAGGTGGTGAAAAGCACCTTGTTCAAGTCTGCAGATGACACTAACATGTGGGGAGAAGTGAGCATGCTAGAAGAGAGGGGACACGCTACAACTAGATCTCGACAGGTTACAGAGGTGGGCGGATAAGAATAGGATGGGTTTCAACACGGACAAGTGCAAGGTGTTGCATCTGGGGAGGAAGAACCAGCAGCATACCTACAGGCTGGGGAACTCCCCTCTCGTCAGCGCAGAGGCAGAAAAGAATCTTGAAATCACTGTTGATCCCAAGATGAACATGGGCCGCCAATGTGGGGACGCAGTCAGGAAGGCTAACCGAACCTTGTCATGCATCCACAGATACATCACGAGCAGGTCCAAGGAGGTGATCCTCCCCCTCTGTGCGACATTGGTCAGGCTGCAGCTGGAGTACTGCATCCAGTTCTGGGCGCCACACTTCAGGAGGGATGTGGCCAGCATGAAGAGGGTCCAAAGGAGGGCCACTCGCATGATTAGGGGGCAGCAGGGCAGGCCCTACAAGGAGAGGCTACAGGACCTGAACCTGTTCAGCCTCCACAAGAGAAGGCTGAGGGGATTTAGTGGCTGGCTATAAAATTGCCAAAGGGGGGCAGCAGGTTATGGGAGAGTCCCTGTTCCCCCGAGCACTACTGGGAGTAACAAGGAATAATGGCCATTAGTTGACTGAGAGTAGATTCAGGCTAGACATCAGGACGCACTACTTCACTGTCAGGGCGGCTAGGAGCTGGAACCAACTTCCAACGGAAGTGGTGCTCGCTCCTACCCTGGGGGTCTTCAAAAGGAGGCTAGACAGCCATCTAGCTGGGGTCATTTGATCCTTTCCTGCCATGGCAGGGGGTCGGACTAGATGATCTGCTTAGGTCCCTTCCGACCCTACCAACTATGAAACTATTAGAAGATCATCAGAAAAGGGAGTGTTCAGTAGGTGTTAATTTTCCTCAGATTCACTCACCATGTTCAAGTTGTCCAGGATGAGCATTTAAAGTGTTTGTATCTTGTTTTTTCTTGGGGCTAATTCATATTCCTCTAGAGGGTATGTGCTACATAAAGAGAAAAGAAAACAGGGACACCAATAGTTCCAGCCAAATGAGAAGCAGAATCCATGTACTTCAGGAGAAGCTGTGGCCCCTTCCTAATGCATCATGAAGTGATTCCCCAGAATTCATGAGCTAAAATAACGCTCTTGTGGCTACCAAGGATTTGCCTGTGCTCTGAAATAGATGAGGAGCTCCTACTGCCAGCTGCTCGTGCTCCAGGGCTTGCATCTACCCTGCCACCATGGCCTGGCTGCCACTGCCACCCCCTCAGGCTGCCTGCACTGCCCACCACCCTGCCTCCCCTCCAGGGTAGAGGTGTGGCCTGAGGGGGCTGGTGGCTGGGCTGTGGTGGTAGGGTAGAGCTGCAACCTAGGAGGAGGTGAGTGCAGAGCAGCCCCCACATCTGTTACTCCTCATGCTGCTGGCAGCGTGACTTATGTGGGGGTCCCGTCAGTGACAGCAACAAGTCTTGCTGCCCTGCTCCACCCTTTTGCACTGGGCTCTGCCCCCTGGGCTGCAGAGGTGGCTCCTCCCCATGCCAGTCCAGCCAGTCTGCCGCCCTGTGCCCGTTGTGGGCACACAAATCTGAGGGGGGGCATGCCCCCCTGACACACTGCCTGTGCCTGCCCCTCCCCAACACATCATCTATGTCCCACTTCCTCTATCATCCAATATACTTACCTGTGAGGAGCTGCTGTCCATGCCGTCTGGCTGCCACATGCGTGTATGTGCACGCACATACATGTGTTGTCCCCTACCTGATCACCCTCTTCCTGCAGCCACAAGCAGCCCCTAGGAGGCTGGAACTCTGCCAGCCTACAGGCAGAAACACACATTTTCCCACAATTTTCTCCTTTAAAGGAGAAAATTTATGATTTCCTGCATCTTCCCATGATTGTTTGCAACCCTTTCATATATTCTTACAACCTACTTTTGGATTGCGACCCACAGATTGAGAAACACTGATTTAGCCTAAGTGGAGGAGGGAAACATCTCAAGTACCATTTATGGTAAATTTTTGTAGATTTTGATTTTTTTTAAGTTAGTGCTATGGTTTTTGATTGTATCTCATTTGTGCCATAGCCAAAGGTTTTTATGCATCTTGCAGAGCACATCTGAAAGTGCCCTTAGTCTAGAAAGTGTATAATCCAGATTAAAAGCAAAGATAGGTAACCACAAATATAGGAAGATGGTATACATGGTATATTATGGCCGATATGTGGTAATTTGAATTTATTCCAACTGTTTTTAAGTTGTTGTCTGTTTCCTTACTCTGGGTTTATGCTAATGTGTCAGTTCGTGTGTGGGCGTGTTCAATTTACATCAGTTTTATTGTGATTTGTTTTCTGGGGGGTTTTTTGTTAGACTAGTAAATACCTGTTAAGTTATCGCAGGTGTCTGCTTTGGGGAGGGGAAACCTAGAGACCCTGACCTTTGCTGTTGCAACAGCAATGGCAGAGTGGCAGCTGGGCAGGATGCCACAGGGTGCATGCAGCCTGTGGGCCACCAGTTGGACAGCCCTGATCTAGTCTGCCATTTCTGTAGCCTGTTAATGATACTGGCATGAGAGACACTGTCAATGTGCTTTTATTGCTCCCGTGCTCACTACCCAGGGTGATTGCCCATATCACTCTACTCCCCACTCCGCCCCATTACACCACTAATTGACTGATAGGAGGGGGAACCAATGGAGGAATATAAAATGTGAAGTCAAAATAGGTAGTTATGAAAGTAAGGTTTCTACCTGCACCCTGGCGCCATGGCATGGATGTCATTGGGACATGGTTGTATTTCTGAAGACCAGAAGGAAGTTTCAGTAGCCAAAATGCAACATGATGAGTGTGTTAACCTTCTAAAATAGGAAAGGCATATCTTACAGGTGCTATGAAGGAAAGCATTTGGAAGCTTGGCTCCAGAGAGGGGTCAGAGATAAAAAGATGGCAGCCACATTACAGGCCTGAGTAACTGGCAGGTTGGTAATATGTCCAGAGTCCTCAGGAAAGGAGGAAGCAGACAGGGCTTCTGGGGAAAGTAAGTCTATGGACATGCATTTATATCGCTACAGAAGTATAGCACACTAGGGCGTACAGCAGGGCTGGGAAAATAGGGTCTACCAATTGATTGTATCCAGCCCATGGTTGCCCTTGTGGCGCTCCGCATGGGGCCGAGCTCTGCACACTCCTGCCTAGGGCAGCCCATACCACACTTCCGCCCATGCCCACTGATGGCCCTGGCCCCAGCCAGCATACACAGCTTACTGGCAAGGATGTGGCTGCAACTTCCTGGGGATTGCTTGGCTTCCCCTGTCTCCAGCAGCTGCTCCTCCACTGCCTCCTGCTGTAGGCAGGTGAAGTGGGTGGAAGAAAGCCAGGAGCTGGAGCCAGAGCCCCTTGTCCTGGGGCGAGGAGTCACCTGGGTGCAGGCTCTCCTCCTCCTCCCTGTGGCTGCAGACCTACGAAGTTGCCTCAAAGGTGAGCTCTCCAGCCAGGGAGTGACCCTTGTTGGGTCCACCCTCCCCTTCCCCAGCTTGCCCTCTTCCCTGCTGAATGTGTCCAATGTGACATAAGAGGAATGGAGGTGCTGAAAGGGACAGAGGAGGGAGGTAGTGAGAAGCATGTTGAGAGAGGGCCAGGATTGTGGCATATATTTCCATAGGTGGGTGTGAATGAATGTAGGATCTAGTTTTGTGCTGTAGTCGGGGGGGAGGGGAGAGTAGGTTGGGGAGACAAGAGGAGTGAGTCCTACCTAGTGGGAAAGGGGAAGGAGGAGGACAAGATGCTATGAGCAAGGTGAGTGGCAGATGGCTGTGATAATCCAAAAAAAAAAAAAAAGTTTGAAAAATGTTGTGAAAATGGCTTGTGGGGAGCAGTCCTTGCCAGAGCAGTTAAATTGCATTTTCTTAGTAAGGGTCCAAAAAAACCCAACAAAAACCAACAAAAAAACCTCCCAGAAACTGGGCTGTGTCCCTACATTGATCATGCCTTGTTTCTGAACCATTTTATGTCTGTTCTCTTTTTAGGAGCAGTACGACTTCCAGCTCTAGAGGGAGTGGGAGTCACTGCAAACCTGACAGTCAGGAAGAATCTCTAAGAACAAAAAGCTCAGAACAGTCAACACCAGAGAATGAAGAAACAAGTAAGATGCATAGTTATTTCTATAACAATAGTCAAGACTACACCAGTGTTTCTCAACCAGAGTGTCATGGGATCCCGCACAGTGTTAGCTGCTAGGTGTGCAAATATAATTCACATGATAAACCCAGAGGTTTCAAATGAGAATCTGTAGGCATTAAAAACATGTTGGCCTGTTGTGGTCTTTCTGAGTTCTTTGCAGCAACAGAATAGCTACATTATTTTTCTGCACTTAAAAAAAAAAGTGAAAACTAAGAGCTGGCATTTTCCGAGGGGTGCTGTGAGTCTAAAAAGGTTGAGAATGACTCCTCTTTCCTAAGATGTTCATAGCTACTGTTGAACTCAATGGTGGTTGCTGTGCGGGCCGGGAGCGACCCGAGCCCTTTTCGCGCTGCATGCGGGCTGTGGCCAGCAGCCCGGGCACGCCGGGGCGGAGAGGGAAGGCCTTCGAGCTGGAATTAGGCATGGACGCGTAGCGGTAGTTTTAAAAGATTGTTTACTTACACCGAGATGGCAGTGGTGTAGGCTGGAAAGCTTGCTTAAGTTGCGGTTACAGAGAGAAAAGAAAACAAAACTCGAACCTGCAGGGCACAAGGGTATGTCGCATAGGGTTCTGGCGATGGGAAGATGAAAATACGAGGGTACGTCGCAAAGGGTTTCGGCGACGGGAAAGTAAACCTGCAGGACTCGAACCCGGGTAGAAGAGCTCTGGAGTTGTCCGGCAAGGACTCACACGAAGTTTGCTAGGCTCCGTGGGTCCTTCTGCTACATGAAGTTTGCTAGGCTCCGTGGGTCCGGTTCGTTGCGCGCGGGAGGGATACGTCTAGGAATCTATCGGCGATGGGGAGAGGCTAGAGGCTGATCAGACCTCCGTTGCCTGCTTGAAATGCGCTGGGTCTGTAAGGATCCGCAGCGCTTAGAGATCTTCACACAGCGTGAAGTCTCCTCCTCCCTTGTTCGTGGAGTCCTCCAACTTGGGCGGAAACCACTCAAGCCTCTTATACGGCTAGCAAGCCAATCACTAGCCGCCACGTGTGAATAATTTAGAACTGGCCAATAATGGGGCCCGAATTAGCATACAAATGGCGGGAACTCTTTGCAACGAGCATTTGTGTGCTGCAACAAAGAAATGCACCCTGCAAAGAAAGCTTCAAATTGGCGGGAAACTCGTTCCTTGCACCGGGGTTCTCTTTTGCAGCAGAAAACTCCACCGTGCAAAGAAGCTGCAATTTAGCGGGGACAATTTAGCAGTGCCGAAGCGCACACAAACAAAAATCACACCTTTTGGGTTGTGACAGTTGCATAGAACACTATTTCTATTGTTGTTTTCAAGAAAGTAAACTGAATAACAGAACTCAAGGAAGTAACAAATTACCAACTTTAAAAATACAGTGTTAATCAGAATAGTCAGATGAAAAAGTGTGTAAATGAAAAAAAATATTTTATTAGCTGTAAACATCTTGTCCTTTACTACTTATTTGTTATCGGCATTTTCTACTGCTACCTAGAGAAGGTGTTTTGCCCAGGCCAGAATTAAGGAACTTTTGGTAAGGTGAAGGACCTGTATTACTGTTACCAGAAGCAGCTTTGCACAGTAGAGAAATTTAGTCTTCAGGGCTGAAACAGTTGTTATAATTTCATATAAAACAGTCTTTTTCACACTTTAATCTGTTTAATAAACAGGCAGTGTAAATTAGCAGATTATAAGAGAGGTTGAAGCCCAAGAAAAGTGATTTGGCACCAAAAGTGGCAGTTGAACCAAATGGTTGGATCCATAGAAAAGCCTACAAATAAAAAAACAAATCATAAAAGGTTCCCTTTTACTAAAAGGAAAGTTTATTACTGTATTTACTTGTATATCACATGTACCTTTCTCCCACTAAAAAATTAAATTTCCAAAATTGAAGTGTATTTTTTAAGCAGGGAAGCTGATTTTTCTACCCAGAATAGAAGCAAGAGGACAGTTTAAGTTTTTCTTTTCCCTCCAGGAGCTTCATGGGAGGAGGGATGGAGTCCAACAGGGACAGATTCAAGGGGATGAGGTGGGAATGGAGTAGTGCCATCCCACCCACTTAAAACCCTGCTCCACCCAAAGTTTAAAACCAGCTGTCTAAGAGCATCAGTGGCATTCAATTCGGGCACTGCTGAGGGAGTCAATTGACTTGATTGCTCATTATAATCTACCTCTACAGATGGAGTACATCTCCACGTATGTTGACTACTTTCTGTTTAGTCATGTTCCACTAATAACGCTATCCTTTCTATGGCAATTTTACTGTCTGTTAGCTACTCCGTGTCTCTCTCCTCCTATTTCACAGCCCTGCAGAGTGGGCTTAGCTCTTTTCAAAATCCTAGGTCTACCCATGGAGTTCAGCCTTTAGCAGAAGCCACAATCTCAGTTTTTGGCTGAGTACCAAAGAACTGCTGAAAGTTTAGCTGTGAAAGTTCTAAAACTGTAGCTTTTTCCTGAACAGGAAAGGGAGGATGAGCGAGCTGAAGATTAGGCTCTGCCTTTGCTTGATGCAGCCATTGAAAAAATCTTTTTTCCCCCTCTGTTCTGTCCTTCCAAACTCAATGCCTTTGTCTTACATGGGGGCATGTGGTATGCAAGAAGATACAGTAACCTTTACAACCTTAGGAAATAACAACTATCTGTGATTTAATCTTGTTTTACACAGTAAAAGCATATTACATCCTAAAATACTTACCCAATTAAATGTCAAGATGTAGCAAAGACCAAGAAAATGTGTTTCCTCATTCTTTAATATACAGAACTGGCATGCAGGTAGATGCATTATGGTTTCTTCTGCTTTCTTCTGAAGCCTTAGGTTTGGGCCAGCAGAAACAGTATATTAGGCTAGCTATTCCAGTGTTCTGTAGGAGTATTTGTAGGTGGATGCTCTTGTTATTGAAACATTTACGATCTAGCATCAAATTATTTAATTACAGGAATTCCTGAAGAATCACAAAATGAAGTCACAGGTGCTGAGGAGTTGAAATCTGCAAATGAAATTGCAGCAAGAGCAGAAGCAGGTACATATCTGCCTTTTACATGTAATTAATTGAAAAGCAAATGAGAACTTTTTAAATTCTACTCAAACAGAAAATGTTCACTTATGATCTCTTCAGAAGCAGGCTGTAGCCATTAATGTTATAGCTCAGTTTGACCCAGCTATTCTGTTAGCTTTATCAGATAATGTACCTGAGCATCCTGGAACCAGCACAGAAGGAGAAAATGGCCCTGACATTGAAAGTACCAGCAGGAACCCAGAGGAAGGACCTTCATGTGAAAAAAGTGAAGAGCAAGAGATTTCAGGTCAACAAAGTACAGAATCCACTGCCAACTCAAATAACACAAACCGTGAACCTCAACTACAGCCAGAATCCTCAGGGCTTGCAACTCAAGAAGAATCATCCACTAGGGGAACTGCTTTCCAAGAAACGGATGATAGTGATGATGACCCTGTCTTAATACCTGGTGCAAGGTATCGAGGAGGACCAGGACACAGGTCAGTAACACTCTTCTTTTCAGTCATTACTTAGCATCAGATTCTCTGAGGAGAGAAATAGAAACTGATGCCCCCACACCTAATGCTAGCATTGATCAAAACTTGCAGCTCTTGGTGTCTCATTGGCAACTTGCCAGGATCTTGAGATCTGCATCTATTTTGGTGTACATGTTATATTTTTCAAGAGAGACAAACTCGCACAGATCTAATAATTGCTTGTGCTTGTACCTTCCTTGCTCTCAAGTACCCAGCATTGTTCTTACCAGAATTATAAGAATGGATTTTCCATAAATGCATTACAGGACACCATAGACTACATTTGCACTGTAGACATCCTTGCTTTAAAAGGGTATTTGCTTTTGGTTGGCAATGCTTTATTTTCCAGTAGCATAAGCTCAGTAAACTGCCCATTTTCTCCACTAACAATTGATCACGTCTGTTTAACTTTTCCTTTTGTTTCTTTTTTTTTTGGTGAGAAGAGAATTTTCTTCTTCTTCTTTCCTCGTGTTAACATCTGAATATCAGGATTAACAGTGATATGTGTTTAGCAGAAAACTGATAGTATAAGACAGGTTTTTATGATGTGTTCTGTACAAGTTCTTTTCCTACAGAATATAAGTACTAATTTGGACCAAAAAAGGCCATTGTAACTAAGAGGACATCACAGAAATTAAGTATATACAGTATTGGCAAAGTAACCCTCCCAATTTTTCAGAATAGCTAGTTTATCTCAACTCCTGGACTGTTCAAATCCTGACATAATTAAGCAAACAGTCAAATTCTAGATTCTAGGCAATTTATTTAAAAAAGGAAATTTGGCTTCAGATTCTTATAGTTTCATAGATTTTAGACACTCTTACCTCTGTCACATTCAGATATTGCATTATGTTGCTGTTTACTGTTTACACTAGGAATCCAAATTCTAAACTGAGGCTTATTACATATACTACTTCCTAAGAGATTAACATAACACAAGAGTGGATATAAAGAGGGTGTGGCTGCACCCCACCTGTCCACACACACTTTTGCACTGGATTACATGCCTATGGCAGCTTCTTTTAAATCCCCAAAGCATATAAGAATCCCCCCACACCCACCCCTTTCCCTGCATGTTCAACGGTACTGCCATTCCCTACCACCCCTTTCTCTGCCTGCTGGTGCTGCTTTCCCTCATGTCCCCTGTGCAGGGGATGTTTCAGAGCTACTCCTACCCTCTCCAGCCAGTCTGAATGGGGGTTGGGCTCAGCTGGGAACAGCCAAAGTAGCAGCGGCAATTTGTGTGCCCAGGAGGTTTTCCTTCCCTGTGCCTGCTCCTGGGGGACTGGACAAGGTGCTCCTACCCATTGCTGCTGCTGCCACTATGCTGTTCTCAGCTGAGCCCAGCCCATGTGCAGCCCAGCTGGAGGAGGCAGAAGCACCTCTGAAGCTTCCCCAACCCTGGGGAAGCAGGGGAAGCAGTAGTTGCAGATAGGAGAAGGGGGAATGGGAGGGAAGAGGAAGGAGCTTGTTTTTAAGCATGGAAGGTGAGGGGAGAGATTCTTATTTGCTTTAAACACTTTAGAAAAGGCAGCAGAGGCTCTCCGGGCACAGTCTTTCCGGGCACGTTAGATTACTGCATAGTAAGACACGAAACCAGGCACTGTATAGCAAAGAGAAGGCAAAATTGTCAGGAATTACTTAAATGATCACTAACCTTTCTTCTGAGTGAGGCAGGGGTCCTATGGAAAAAGTACTATGTGATTGTACCACATAACTTGTTTTGTTCCATATATTAAATTACTCTTAATTTTGAGACTGAGATTTAGTAGATCACCCATGAATCAAAACCTCAAATTCTGACCCCTTTGCTCATACTGATTTTTCTTTTTTGGAGATTTTGGGCAAGATATCTAGCAACTCTTACTTAATATCTTCCCCTATAAAGTAAGTTTTATCCATATTGATTATATGTGTTATTTGAAAATGTTTGTAATAGGGTAATGCATGTGAAAAATTTATCGATATCAGGCACAATCTGTTTATGATGGTGTCCTCTTATAGAGCCCATCCACATCTAGATAGATATTACACTTAATAGATAGATATTACACAGAGGCACTGTCTGGTATTCTCTTCGACTTACAAACCATGACATGAGTTACCAGCCCACTGGGCCTAACTCCTCTGCAGAGAGCCTTCTTACCTCTATTCAAGGGCCAAATATCTGTGTCCAGTCCACATAGGCAAGCAGCTCATGTGTCTTGGGAAGAGGTGGGTTAAAGAGAGGTTATCTGCAGCTAAGAAGAGGAATCTTAGAAGGAAGATTGGGAGGAAAAAAAGTCAGTTGGGGATACTCATGGCCTTGTCAATGGAGTAGGGTTTGGGAGGATTTCTACAGGTAAAGGAGATGTAGGTGTAGTAGCTTTCAGACTGAGATATACAGCCCACAGAATTTATAATTTAGAGGTTGTTCCCATATTCAGAGTATCCCAGCCTGTGGAAGAAGACATTTATTGTTTGTCTTGATGGTATTCTACTTGATCTGAGTGAAATACAACCCCCCCATTTAGTAACTTAAAGAAGTCTTAGGAACTTTTAACATTATCATATAGCACTACCATGAACGTATGTATGTCAGTTACAAGTGAGGCTCATCTTCTCAAATTCTGTAAGTTATTGTCTTAATCCCCTGAAGAGGTGGAAATCTCATTTGGTTTAATTCAACATTATAGTACAGTATAGGACTTCCGTTCTATACGTTTCATTAAGACTTTCAAAGGTAACTCAACTTACTATTATCTATGCTTAGCTAGGTCAGCTTGATACACTTATCTAGTTCACTTAGTGGTGGGTTTTCCTACAAGTATTCTCATTATACTTATATAAAGTTTAAAACTAGAAATAAACTTCAAAGACAGATACTCAGTTCTCTACATCATGGAAAAAGGCTGCTAATCAGCATGTTGAGACTACATAAACAGAAAACAAAAGAAGGTGTTAACTTCTCCAGATGAAAAGTCTGTTGCTGGACATCTGTAATTTATTAGGGTTGGACTGCAAACAAGCGGCCCCACACAGAACACTGACACGCATTGCCCTCTTTTATTCTTTTCAATCTGACTTATTTAATAACTCCTTTGAGGGAAAGAAATGTTTATTATAGTGGCAATTCTGCAAAAACACAGCGAGGTATGTTGATGTGGTGCTAAAAATCTCATTGATTTTTTTTTTTTTTTTTTTTTTCAAATGATTTATTCTCTTAGGATTTTCTATAGGATAAAAAGACTTTTAATAGGATGCTAAAAGCTATTGATCGTTTAAGACCTTATCTAGTTAAAATCTGAACAGTTCAGAGTAATATTTTTAATCTCTGGATTTCTATATATTCTTACAAATTAGGCACTTTCAAATTCTGGAGAAATTCTACAGTTGGAGAAAATGAACTGGAAATCTTAATCACATAGGGTGCATCTACATGTGTGCTTCATTGTAGACTAATTAGCTCCACGGTAAAGTGCCACAGTCTACATGTGTGCTGGAATTAGGGCACAGTAAACTAATTAACTCTGCCATACAGTACTGTTGAGGACAGTACTATCTTATGGCAAGGTACTTCGCTGTACTTGGGACTTGCTCCTCTCCAGCTCAAATAGCTGCTGTCTCAGACTTACATGTAGATGCTGTGGTTTGGAGCCGTAAAATCTAGCACAAACTACTCCAGAGTTTATTCCATCACTTTAATTTCATGTGTAGGTGCACCCACAGACCATGTCCAGATGAGCATGGCTGTGCAGCATGCAGCGTCACAGATTTGCCTGCAGCACCACATACCGCATATTTAGGCGTTCCCTGCACTGCTACCTTTCAGAGTGGGGTTTGATCCCAGGGTCAAAAAAAAACTGCACAGAAAAAAACGTGGGGCGATGCACATGATAGCAGTGTGTGCTGACCAAAACTGGAGTTTGGCTGGCCAGAGCCATGCTCCAACTACTGGGCAGACTCCCAGTGGCAGGAGGACCATGGCTACAGCTTTCCTGGCCCTCAGGACCCCAGTTAAGGCTGCTGGGGCCAGCATAGTTGCTGGCCCCAGCCTCCTCTGCCTACTCAGAATAACCTGCTATGTGCCAGAGCGCACATGGCACAGGCATTCCCCAGGGACAAGTAGCAGCGGCACAATGACCTAAACTAGTGGTGCTTAATCTCCAGTCTGTGGGACCATGTCATCTAGTCCGTGAGAAGCCCTGAAAGCCAGATGATATCTGGCCAGGCTGGTGTGCAAGGCTGTACCAACAACCAGCAGACTGATCCGTGGACAAGCTCCATTTCTCTCTTATAGTCCATGAGCCCAGGAGGTTGAGCACTACTGACAAGAAACAAATCAATTTCTGTCTGTAATGTCAACTTTTTCATAGTGGGATGCTTAAAAATATGAGCTCAATATTCTGTATGCTGGAGTCAGAATCTTAAGTTTAAGGATAATCCATGGCAGAACCATTTGAATGCCCCCTTTTAAGTCCTGTTTGTAATACAAGGCAGATTGAGAACTTCATACAGAATACACTTTATCTGCCTTCAGTGTTGAATAAAATGAATCTGGATGTAGGCTTCAGATGTTCTCAATGTGATTGAGTGCACCTGCACTAATTTTAGATGCAAATCCAACATTTAATGTGTTCTAAACTGGGAATTAGCTCTCTCCAACCACCTTCTGTTCATTCTGGGAAATGATCATGGGACAAACTCTCCTTAGTGCTTGTTTAAATACGAAACACAGAACCAAAAAAATCTTATCTGAAATCTGCTTGAAACATAATTTTACTTTATAATCTCTTCAGAAGGAATTATTTCCTGCTCATGTTGGGGAATCCTTGGGAGACAACTGTTACAGACGTTAGGACCTCTAGTGCTTTTTAATTTAAAATATTGTCACAGTGGCTATTCATGCATTTTGTCAAAGCCAGGCAAAGTTAGCCATTCAGGCAGAAGGCAGTGTGGCCTTAGCTGTGCAGTCTGGTCAAAAAATACTATAAAAATGTAATTTGTGTGCACACAGTACAATTTGACTCATCATAATTCAGAAGCATCAAAACTTTCGCCTGAATAGTGAGAAGAATTTTTCTGCGAGGGTCGTTGTCATACCCAAATAACTGAATTGGTTCTGTTCAAACTTTCTGATAGAAATTCATGCTTATAGGTGAAAGCCAGCCATGGAGCTTGGAAACTTTCAGTTCAGTAGGTAAAAATATCAAAGATGTAAGAGAGTTTGAAATCAAAGTGTTTTACAGGAGCTGCTGCCACTCCCACAGCAATACAGTTGATGAGTAATTCACGCATTTTATAAAATTAACTTTGTGTATCAATAATAATATGCAAAATAATTTCTTGGTTGAAATCAAAATGTTCTCATCTTGATTTGTCTCAGGAAGGTGGGATCTTTTCAAAATAATTTTAAGTTCATTCTGTACTAGGCACTGACCTTTAAAAACTTGCTACCCGGAATTTTTGAATGACTTCAGCTATTGTTCCCTTCACTAGATTTAATATCAGAGGAACAGCGATAGGTGATAGAATAATGAGGTAATTCAACATCTTCCTTCCCTCTGTCCCTCTTTTTCCTTCTGTATGATGAATTTACAAGGCCCTTTTTTCCCACATCTAACAAGTTTTTCCGTTGGCTCTTACATCTTTTAAATTTACTAAACTTCAAATGCTAGAAATTAGAGCGCAGGTTGCTTGATTTATTTAGCTGCACGTACTGCATGAAATTAAGAAAATATTGCCGTGTACAAATTTAACAGCATATTAATCTTATTGGTGTGTGCCACAGAAATAAGCATAATGTAAAAAAAAGTGTGTATTTTACATGGAGCAATACAGTTTGTTCTTCAGTTGTTGAAGCACGTTATGTTTTGCATGTCACTTGATATGGCTTGACTGGCATTAGGGAACTCCAGTTCTGAAGCAAGATGTAGGAATACAGTATCCAAAGTTCTGTTTTGCTTTTGCCTGAATCAGTTTATGAAATTAAACCTATTTTTTAAAGCCAGGATTGATAGCACACGTTTAGGAAGGAAAATGCTGGATTTAAAGGATTTTTTTTCTCATAATGCAGAGAAATGCAAATAGAATAGCTGAGAAGGAATAATACTAAATACCTCACTGAAACACTAGAGTGCATTAATTTTAGGAGCATTTGAGAGCTTTGGACAACAGATTTGACAATTTGTCTAACCTGGAAGAAACTGCAATATGTGACTTAATGCCAGATACTATAACTGGAAGTTAACATATCATGAGGGGGAGGATCTAAAATGAAAAATATGCTTTATAGTATCAAGAGTGACCAAGTGCAGGATGCCTATCTGATGATGTTGATCTATGTGACCACCCCGTAAAGGATATCTATCTACCTCTTTCATAAAATTCTATGAATACAGTTGCACAGAATGCTTATGTGAGTTGTGAAATAGGAATGTCTGAAGGAAAGTAGGTTTGCTGCTCTTCTTGTCTTTGTTTTCAGGTGCAACTCTTGCCAAGTTGAGTAAGATCTGTACTCAAGGGTCTTCATGGTCTGTAATGTGCTGGCTCCAAGTTTGTGTTGTTTTGGATTTCTGTAGCCCTGTGGTGCAACAGATCAGAGGGTCTATGTTAGTTGAAAGGAAACTTTCAGAATTAAATATAAAAATGAATAATATGTTCCATATGGAATTTTTTCAGTGCCTGCTTTTATTTTTTTCTTTTCCTAACGTCTAATCCTCAATGTAGTGGAATTTTCTGTTATCAAAAGGGAAGAGTGAGAGTGTTTTGCAGCTGAATAGGACACACCTGGAAAGGAAATGGAAATGGTTTGGACTTATGCAGTAACCACATTATCTGGATGCTCTGCTGAAACGATCAGTTATTAAATGGTTTATGTTTGAGAGCAAGGACTTTTTGTGCTACCTTTTTATTAGACCAGCCCTATCATTGGGAGTGCTATTGGACAGGCTTTCAGGCATTCTGAAATCAGGGCTTTATCACAGCATGGGAATGTGGTCAAAACACATGTGAGTCTCATCTATACTGCAAGACCATAACTATATTCTATCAGTTTATGTAAACAGAGCCTTGCCTGGTTACTTGCAAATTCAGGGAGGACCACTGTTTTCGATCGCATTTAGATTTTCTGTAAATTCTTACTGTCTAGAAACTTCCTTATAAATAATAATCTATGGTATGTGTGATGTTTCAGTATTACTAGGACAAGCACCATCAGTTGATGTCGAAATATAAATTTGCTGGAGTTGCCAAAACAGTAGCCGAGCCCGCCCCACCCCACCCTGCCTCCGGCACATATGCAGGGCACACACCCCCATACCCTCCTGAGGTGCGCACAGTGGCAGGAGCTGCCCTGCGTCGCCCAGATGAGCTGCTGGTAGCTCCGTCCCACACCCTGCCCCACCCCGGCTGTGCAGTGCCTGCCCCAGCTCCACTTCCTCCCACATCGCGGGGGCTTCAGTCTGCTGCCCCCTCCCCTTAAAACAAGAAAAAAATATATGGGGGTGCAGGAGCTGAACCTTTGAGTCAGAAGGGGTACACTTATTAAAAAAGGTTGAAATCCCCTGACACAGGTAGAAGAACTAGGCTTCTTCACAGGTCAAGTTTCTAACCCCTTGAAAAGATAAAGATTTGAGAACTAGTTGGGGGTATTATATAGCCACAGCAAACATCCGGTCCAGAACTGCATTTGTGCCCCAGCTGATTAGAGAAGCAGTGCCCTTTGATATAAAAGCTGTAGCAAATAGCTCGGCAGCTCATTCTTAATTTGGCAACCTGCTGCCATCTATGTGGGTTTCAAACCACCCTGATTTGAAACATGCTGATTCTGCTATACAAGCTTGGGAAAATTGAGAACTCTTTGTTTCTAGCACTTTGCACAGCATGTTAGTTTCTTTACTGACATGTGTGCGTTGGCATAAACCATATGATTAGAGCACTATCTAATAACACTTTTTTATTTACAGTAATTGGACAAGAATTCTATGAAAGCCTGTGCATCTAAAACTAAAAGGTGCAAAAGGCTAGAACAAAAATTGTTCTTCCAGGATAGAAGTGTGCCTTTTAAATTTAAAATCTTCTCTACACAAAGAACAGAAGAGGGAAGAATCTTGCCTAAAAAGTGTATTCTGTTGCTGGGTCTGAAGGGTCATTAGGTTAGGTCTTTCTGCTCTTTTTGGCGAGGTTTTTCCTTAATTGGGGTCCTGCCATCAACAGCAGGACTTAACTCCTAATCCCAATAACCTGAACCAAGGACAGTTTAGATACAGTCTCACCATGAGATGCAATCTTGTCTTTTCCATAAGTCCCCATCTCAGAGGTTGCTGAATCAAAGTCCATTAGTACCATTTTAATCATGGCTAAAATTTTAGCTTTCAGCAGAGCCAAATCCAAGGCAGTGGTGTTTGAAAAGCAAAGTGAGTACTTTGTTTGCATCTTCCTTTTTATAAATTCAGTACAGTACAGTATACTCTGTAGTCTTAGGCTTTTTGGATTTTTTTTTTTAAATGGCTGCATATAACCTCAGAGGGAGGAAATCAGAAAAGCCTGGCCGGAGCCATGAAAAATATGTATCACGGTGGCTGTATCTGGAAGAAGTCAGTGTTTCCTGCCATGAGGCATTGGTAATTTTTGTACCTGTGACAGTCTTTGGGCATAGACAGATGAAACAGCGGCATCAATATCAAATGAAATTGATTTAAGCTCTTTGATGTAACTGTTCCATCTGCTGTAATTGTTTTGCCTGGATGCTCCTGTAGTAATTCAAGTGTAACAAAACTGCCAGCTTTCAGAGTTAACATTTTAGGGAATTAGCACATTTGTATCAGTGTAGGAGCATGCACACTGAAAGGTTGGTTACCTCATGACAGCTGGTGCCTGCTCCACAGTGGTAGCTCTCTCCCCCATTTAAAGCAGTTAAATTTTATGGTTTTTTCCATGTCTGGATGCACCCATAGAAGATAAGTGCAAATGTGTGATATACGGCACTGCAGACTGCACCAGACTGCTGTCGTGTGCAGCACTGCGCACACCACAGATGCAGGCATTCCCTGCACTGCTGATTTGCAGTTTGATGAGGGTTTTGTCATGAGATCCTGGTGTAAAAAAACCCACACCTTAAAATAGTGGGCCAGCACATGTGGCGACAGTGTGCGCTGCTGGAAACGAGCCTGGCTGGCCAGAGCCACACACCAGGTGCTGGCTAGTCTCTGTGCTGCCACATTGCTGTGGCTGCAGCCCCTGGAGGCCCTCTGGACACCAGGAAAGGCTGCTGGAGCCAGCCCAAGTGCTGGCCCCAGCGTCCACTACTCCACCTGGGGGAATGTGTCATGCACACTAGAGAACGTGTGCATGAGCGTTTCCCAGGGACAAGCAGCAGGTATTGTCACTGCTCTTTGTTCCCAGGGAAATGCATGTTCCTGCTTGTGGGGGCGCCTTATATATGTCCATAGGATGGTAAAGTAGTTTAGCAAGAGTCTAGGATGTAATTCAGTATTACTTAGCAGATTTGTGCAAATTAATGCCTTGGCTCTTTTACTAGTGTTAACATTAATTCATTATTTGATTAAAAATAATAGTCCTAAGCTTATTCCCCCTGCTCAGTGTTTTGTTTTGTTGTTGGGTTTGTTTTGTGGGTTTTTTTGGCGGGGGGGTGGGGTTAGAGAGGGTTGTTCTGTTTTGTTTTTTTTAAGTTTAGTTAGTTCATATCTACAGGGATGTACTAGCATGTTCTGGAACCAAATATAGAAGTGTATACTCTGGAAAAGAAGAGGCCTGATTTTGTTGAATGGACTTATTTTGTTTTTAAAGCTTTGTCGCTTTTAGCCTGGTTGATAATGGAATAGCTAGTGAACTGAGGATTTCTGTCATATGCTTATCATAAATTTCTCTGTTAAAAAAAAAAAAAAAAAAAAGATGATATATAAAATGCATGCATTAAAGGATGATACAAATGTGTATGTGGGTGTAATCACAGCTGGAGTACATGGCTTCACTTAAGGTTCCATAAATATTTTGCATAAGTGCACAACACACAACCCTCCTTTACTTTCTCTTTCCTTGCAAAGGCAACTGAATGAACATAATATTGTTGCAGCCTTTAATACACAGTAAATGAGGTCAAACCTTGTTTGTTTCTTTAATGTTATCCCTAATGTCTTCGGGGTAGTCATAATGTTAGTAAATTTAAGTGTCAAAGACTAAACATCAAAGAGAAAGTAGATTAGCTCAATGTATTACAAGAAAGGGCAAGTAAAATTGAATTTAAATGGGAAAACTTAGCCTGACTTCTAGTTTGACTGTTCGAGGAAATCACTGATGAGCAGTATTGGGCTGCAGTAATGTCTCCCAAAGCAAGCTGTAAAAGTTTACCACAATTCCTGCCACAGCTACTTCAGTCCCTTACAGTTTAATACTTAATTTATATCCTCCAATGACTTGTCTCACTCTGGTTCCACCTAGACCTTCAAGAAGCATGACATCAGTCCTGAAAAAGAAAAGGGGTGAAAGAGCAAATCATAGAAGTCAAGATAGCCAAAGCTAGAGTCAGTAAGAAGTTGTAAACCTGGGGCCACAGGATGGGAGCAGCAGTTAGATGTGAAGAACTCTAAAATTCTTATGGCATCACCAAAATATAACTTCTTGAGATCAAGTAGCCATCCAGTAGAGTTTTTCAGCATGTTGCTTTACATCATCTTTTTGTTCATAAAATATTTTTTGCTATAGCTCTGTCTGCATTAGGGAGTATTTTCCCACTGTAATTAGGCTTTCAAGTCCCCTAGACCCAGCTTTTTTCTCTGTTCAAATAAGTACTGTTAAGTTTTCCTAATGTTCAATCTTGCAATAGAAGAAACACTAACAAGAAACTATCAGAAGAAAGATCTTCTTCCTAAAGCAGGGAATAATAAGAAAGTATGAGACATTTAAAATTTGATCTAATACAAAGAAAAAATTAAAGGTGGCAGCAGATCTGTTTATATTTATTGTTCTAAATAGAAAAATGTACTATTTTGCCTATATCTACCTTTTTACACTTTTGCAAGCTCAGAGTGGATAAGAGGGGGTTCTCTCTATTTAGAAAATATTCTATCTCAGTGTGATATTATATATGATTTTTGCTTGCATCCTAGAGTTTGTACCTTTAAAAAGAATGAAACAAAAATAACATGATTGCTACATGACACTGTCTTGCATGTTATTCCTGTTCTAAACCAAAATGGAAAAACTCTCAAATATGTAACTTAAACAGTTGCCGTGGAATTAGTACCTTTGCCAGACTCAGAAGCGAGTGAGTTTGAGTGGCCTGACTGAGCTGTTTTGTCACCCTTTAAATAGCACTGGTTCATTGTCTAGAAAAGGTCTGTGTGTGAAGCTTCTGGTCTTGTGTAATGGTCTTTCAATAGTGTTTTCTTTTTATGTAATTCATAGACGATCTGCTGTTGCCCGCATTCAGGAACTGTTCAGAAGGAGAAAAGAAAGGAAAGAAATGGAAGAACTGGAAACACTGAATATTAGACGTCCTTTAATAAAGATGGTTTATAAGGGTCATCGGAACTCCCGAACAATGGTACAGAATACTCGCTTATATTAAGAGTTTATCTTTTTTACTTGAAATAATGTAGATGTTCTTTCTAAAAGGGGATGTTGTGTTTCATTCAAAGAATGTTATTTGCATATTAGATCTGTAATTATGTAACTGGATATATGTCACTCATGGGCCCCCATAAGTAATCTAAAGCCACATGGTGGGGAGACACTAACTTTCTCTGCAAGTTGGGACAGCCCTTTAGTTGCTTGGCACTTGGCCCATCTGCATGATGACACATTGTGTACTTCAAAAAGAAATATAAAACTTAAGTCATGAGCTTAATGAATAACGATTAGTTCCTGATCTAGCCCCTTGACCACCTCATCTTTATATATAACACAAAGGCTGCTTACAGACATAACCCCCCCCCCCCCCCAAAAAAAAAAAACACCAAAAAAACAAAAAACCCACAAAAAACAACCAACGCTTTACTTGAAGAAACAGCACATTCATTCAAACCAGCTCCACAGCATCTGTGTAGATCAGGTGATTCAGTAGGGCTTTTTGGCACTTTTATCTAAAGCTGAGTTAATCAGCTATTAGATGAAAGTGCCAAAAAAAACAACAAACCAACCCACTAAAGCATCTGATCTGTATAGAAATTGGGCGAGCTGGGTCCAAATAACATGATGCCTCTTCTGGGCATGTACTGGCTTTGGCACGGGAACATGCTAAGTTTAAAGTAAAGTGCTGTTTTGGGTTTTTTTAAACGTCTGTAAGCAGCCAAAGTGCTTTACAAAAAGCTCTATCTATACTCACCGTGCTGCCTTTTTAATACACATTTTTTTAAGTATCCTTAGGCCCCTACTGTAGATTACAGTTTACATTTGTGCTGCGATTAACATGTTAATCACAGCATGAATAAGAAAGGTACTATATGTGCACCTGATTTAAATCACCATATAATGGGAAACAAGCCATAAAAATGTTTGACAGATACCGTAGAACATTTTTATGGCTCATTTATGTCACCTTAAATTTAACCTGTGGCTGGTGACTGAAAATCAGCTGATTAAAGTCCCCAATAGGAGAAACCAAAGACTCAGCTCCTGGCAGGGCAAGTAAAGGTTTCCCTCTGCTGGGGACTTTAAACCCTGCACTGAGCAGCTCTTGTGCAGTCCTGATTGTCAGGTGCCTGGCTTTCAATTTGCTGGTGCAGGGGGAGCCCAGGATCATCATCATAATCCTGGGCTTCTCCTGCACTGACAAGTAGGGCACGATTGGGATCTGATCCCAGAATCACATATCAGTCATGCCTATGTGGCATGGCAGGAGGCATGATTATTGGCATTGGGGTTTATATCCCATCACGCCTTTAAAAGTGTTGTGGCCGTAATTGTGTGTGGTTGGAAAACCATTGTTTTTATCACCAGCAAAAACTTGGGAAGGGCAAGCTGTCCAAATGAAAGCTAGTTATTGTATTCATATTTTTTGAAAATATTATCTGCTTCCTTCAGGTTCATTCAGGGAGCCTGTTGTTGACTGAAGAAATTTAAAAAATACAAATTTGTTAGTGCTAAAAACAAGTTAGTTTTTTCCTTTTTCTCAGATGGTAGTAGTAACTCTCAGTGGGTGGTTATGGCTGAGATGGATGCTCCTCTTTTTTTTATTGAAAGATTTACTAAATCTTTTTTTATTATTATTAATTCCAGAACTTTTTCTAAAATGTATCTTTTGGGGTCCCAAAGTGTCATAAGAATTATTGGACTTTGTAAGACTAGAGTGATGAATAAAGGGCACACACTTTTTTTCTTTATTAATAGCCTTTTTCCTGTTTTACTTAATGGTTATGGTGTTTAGAAAACATAAAATGCTAAGTGGTATTTGCTATTTTTGGGAAGTTATAGTCAAGCTACTTTGGAGGTAGCTGAGGAGGGATGATTCATCCAATTCAGTGGTTCTCAACCTTTTTAGGCTTAAGGCACCCATCACTGTACTCAAGGCACCTCTTCACAACTTTTTGAAATTGGGTGCCATTCAGTTCACAAAACTAATTTTAAATATTACAGGCTCCCTCTACATATAACCGGTATTGCACAATTAACTGGTTACCGGGAGACCAGCTACACATGCAAAGTAGCTATGACACAATTAAAAGCTCCAACCAGCTATAAAGTTAGACCTAAAAAATGTGTACTAACTTTATAACTGGTTGCTATTGAGCCTTAATTTGCATGTGTAGCAGGGCTTGTCCTTGTAGCTGGGAGCCCTGTCAGTTAACAAACAGGGCTCCCAATCACAGGGGTGCACCATCCCTGGCGTAAAACCTCTGGACCCTGGGGATTGCAGCTACCATGATGTCTAGTGCTTGGGGATGTGGGCCAGAGGATCATTGCAGGGTTGATTCCCCCCTGCCCTGGGGGTGCTGGGAAACCCCTGGGGCCAGGAGATATTGGTGATTCTCTGGCCCTAGGTGCTTCTCTCCACCCCCATGGCAAGGGGATCCCTGTGTAGTAATCCTCTGTCCTTGGGGGTTTCCCACGCCCCCAGGATGGGGTGGGGGGAGTGTCACAGCGGCAATCCTCCAAGCCAGGAAGTGCGTGGGGCTCCCAGACGCAGGAGCTTGGTTTTTGCTGGTATGGCTGGAGATGTGATTGTGTTAACTGTATGTCAGATCCCATTGCACCTTTACCTACACATGTAGAGGGGGCCACAGTGCTTATATCCTTACAGAGGGATTGGACAGTGCAGGGGAAGGAATTGGCCATTAAATAAGCCTGATCTACACATACCTACTCATCTCACACCTCACTTATCTCCTTACACCTAGTGGCACCCTGGTTGAGACTCATTGATCCAATTTCTCAGAGAGCATATTCCAGAATTTGCATAAGTAGCTTCAAAAACTGCTGGGATGAATTTTGCCTTCCTAAATGCATATTCCACTTTACATAGATATTAGTAGAAACTGGGTGACCATATCAGAGGATATAGAAGGGGCAGAATTAGATTTAATGGTGTCAAGCTTTGTATATTTTTTTTTTTTTTTTTAGAGTTCAGAAATGAATAACAATGTATACAACTGCCTTAAATTGTTACTAACATTGTAAAGTCAAGCACTCAGTGGCAGGGTGGATTTGATTTAAACCAAATCTATTTAAATCATTTAAATCACTATTTAAATCACTGGTCAGGAAGCCCCGATTTAATCATTCTTTTCTACAAAAAGTTCATTCTTGTTTGATATAACCTTAATACATATTAGTCACAACTCGGATAGATGTAAGTTCATTATTAAAAGGTACACACTATACATTTTACAGCAGTGATTTATTATGGTATTTTTTTCAGATTCATTTTGCAACTATATCAGAAAACTGAAGTATGACATTTTATTTAACTAAAACAACAAGCTGATGTATTTTAGATATTTTTCTTCATCAACAAACATATATAATTATTTGAACAAAACATGTATTTTTTTATTATTTATCAATTTTAGTTATAAATGTGAAAAATGTTTTAAACAAAAAATTAAATAGATTATTTCATCCAAGTCAACATGAGAAACTTAAAATACTGGGTTAGGCAGCAAACTCAGTCTTCACCTCCCTCTTCCTGTTTATTCATAGACTGGAAAAGAAAGACAAATTTTCCAGCTTTTTCAGTTCCCAAGTCATTTCTCAATTTAGAATGAATTAGTCTAAAAGAAGAAAATATTCTTTCTACACCTGCAGAAGAATCATAAAAAATTAGGGTTGGAAGGGACCTTGAGAGGTCACATCTACCCTCCTACTCAAAGCAGGACCAGCCCCAACTAGATCATCCCAGACCAAGCTTTGTCTAGCCAGGTCTTAAAAACCTCCAAGGATGGAGATTCCACAACCTCTCTAGGTAACCTGTTCAGTACTTCACCACTTTTCTAGTGAAAAAATTCTTTGTAATACCTCATTTAAACATCTCTTGCTGCAACTTGAGACCATTGCTGCTTGTTCTGTTATCTGTCACCGCTGAGAACATAGTTTACCCCTATCATCTTTCGAACCCTGCTTCAGGTAGTTGAAGGATGCTTTAAAATCCCCTGTCAGTGTTCTCTAGAGTAAAAAAGCCCAGCTCCCTTAGCCTCTCCTTATAAATCCGTGTAAAGAAGCTACTGCTGTTAAAAACTGGATTATCACTTCAGTAGTCTCTGATACATCCAGGTGCTTATGTGACTTCCACCAGTTCATTGGTAAGACTTTCTTTAAAACCTCATTAGCAAACGTATATTTCTTGAATGGTTCACCTTTAGCTTTGAAATTTATTATAGCTGGTATTACAGAGGGATGATTGCTGGATGCCCATGTCATAGCCAACTCTTCTACAGCAGTTAAGGATTGAGAATATTGGCAAGAAAATGAGCTGGAGATAGTGCTTGATCCATTCTTTTTTTTAATGCCTGTAATTTAACTCTGTCATTGCATATTTCTCTTTTCAAGGTCTCACTCAGTTCCTTCCAAATTTCACCAGCATCAGCAATAAAACAGTGATTTCCCAGCACTTTGTTCAAGGCTACGGCAGTAGGCTTCAGGATAGTCAGCATACATTTTATATTTTTCTTTAGCCCAACGTTGAGAACTTTGGCTATGACAGTTCCATCTATTTTGTCATAATGTTGTTCACAAATTGTCATCAGATGAGGCCAGTTTTCGATATATCGCTCAAAACAGTTCGCTACTGAGTTCCATTGCATGTCTTATGGGAGAGTTAGTTTGCTTTGTCTTGCTTTCTTCAGAGAAGCTGCTGCAAAGTGGTTGTTGTGGAAGTATTTTGCAATTTCGGCAACATCAACCTTTATTTCTGGAGCACTGAAGTCTTTGGCTAAGAGGTGCATCAAACGAGCACTGCAGCCATGACATTAGCTTGGGATTTTTTCACTTTCTTCTAGAATTTCTTATTGTCTTTGATACATATGCAGCATTGACTGTGACAGCTTCATACTAGACATTTGAGGGTTTTTTCCACAGTTTGTTAATAGCTTTTATTGCTACAGCAGAATA